GCATGGGTTACTGAAGATCAATTCTAACCCTGATCTTAACGTGTTCGTGGAGGTAGTCGGAAAGAAGAGTCGGATTAACGCCAGATGTCCAGTCAGTCAGTCAGTCAGTCAGTCCCCAATGTGAGGCACCTTACCGCGAGCACACAAAGTCAAAAATTGAAATCAAACAAAAACGCCCCGAAAAACAAAGAAATAACCCGGACCTTCCCGGGTGGCAATATTGCAGCTATATGGCGGCGTTTATATAGTGACCATTGACATTTGTTCTATAGCACTGCCATTTTTGCCTGTCATGTCCACTTGACTATGGGGGTAAAGGGTGAGATAGTGTTGTTTAAGTGTCTGGAGGAAAGACCACATGGAAGATCTAAGCAGGCAGCATTTCTTTGGCGGGTATTGTCACCGAACTTTAACACAGTGTTTGTTGTTGATAAGGTATACACGCTTAATCAAGCATTAACATTACGAAGGTCGCATGCTACGTTGTACATGTTGATGTGTGTTGTTTGCAGTTGATATATTTGTGTGAGTGGGCCTAGTGGTTAAAGCGTTCATTCGTCACGTCGAAGACCCAGGTTCGATTCCCCACATAGGTACAGTGCGTGGAGCCCATTTCTGCTGTCCCCCCGCCGTGATATTGCTGGAATATTGCTAAAAGCGGCGTAAAACTAACCTCACTCACTCTTGTGGTAAGTAGCCTCTTATGGGTTCATGTTGTCAATCACTGGCTTGTCTGGTCAAAACTCGATTATCTACAAACCGTCACTGACGTACTAGATGATCATAAGTAATATCACATGACTTGCTTAGTGTGGTGTCAAACCATTGACAAATATAATGTCAGACAGGTAACAACAAGTAGCATCATATAAAGGTATGACGTCATCAGGGATCGAACCATCGACCTTCCGCTCTCCACTGAGCCAAGGATGTAGTACTTAACTAAGACTTTACCTAGGTAAATCGAGAGTGGGTGAGTTTAGTTTTACGTCAGTTTTAAGCAATATTCCAGCAATATCACGGCGGGGGACACCAGAAACGGGCTCCACGCACTGTACCTATGTGGGGAATCGAACCCGGCTCTTTGTCCTGACGAGCGAACGCTTTAACCGCTAGGCTACCACCGCCCCAGATAAATCGATACGCGAGATATGACATCACACTTACACGAGGCAGTTGAAATATTACGATTATCATCTGTATCGATTTTTTCCTTCAGATAATCCTTTCCTTGACCAAGGCAACATATCCATTGCATAACACGTTATCGTATTTCTGAGAAGATCGATTGTTGGCATTATGTTGAGGCTCCCCACCCAAACATGGTATCGAAGACGCTTCACTGAATCCGATTGATGGATGTAATGACACTATGCTCAAAGACAGAGATCACCTGACGTATCAATAATTCATCAATCGGTATTGATTATCGATTAGCTTGAAGTGGAAGAAAACTGTGAGGAAGTATTTTCATTTGAAATGTCACTACCCGAAACAATCGTGTAAGATTTCGTTACAATATCGAGATAATGACTATAAACAGAATGACAATGTCGACGATCAATTTTGGTCATATCCCGGTGCCTGAAGATTATTGTGGGAGAAAATGCCGAAGTCCACGTCATCATGACATGAATGCACATGTACTGCCTGATTGGGTAACAACTAAATCACAATAAATATCCATTGTATGGAGTGGGTAGGTATATTTTACGCTGCATTTCTCGTGTTCCAATATCGTCACTGCAGGGACGCCACAAAAGGGTTTCGCGGAAGGCATCCACTTTGGTAATGAAACCTGGACCACTGGTGTAATGATGACTGCTTTAACCACTTGCCCAACCCACAATTCGATGAGTTACGTACGCCGTACGAGTCTGGACCAGACAATCCAGTGATCAACAGTGATTTTACAAAGACTTCGACAATATACGTTACAAAGTATAACTTAACTTTGGAAAAATAACAGTGAGTGAGTGAGTTTAGTTTTACGCCGCAATCAGCAATATTCCAGCTATATGGAGGCGGTTTGTAAATAATCGAGTCTGGACCAGATAACCCAGTGATCAACAGCATGAGCATCGATTTACGCAATGTGGGTACGATGACATTTGTCAACCAAGTCAACCAGCCCGACCACCCGATCCCGTCAGTCGCATTTTACGACAAGTCTGTGTTGCCGAAGACCAATTCTAATCTTCACGGTTCCAAACGTACCTATTAGCATTAGCAGGAATAAAACAAATTGTAATAATATCATGATTCATCGATACTTATCAATGATAGCATAATTCGCCCAGATAAAACAAACGTATGTATCATAGACCCACACTGGAGCAATACACTGATCAATATGAATATCCAATCCTGTTTTTTCAACAGGATGACCTAGGACGAATAAACAGGGGTTTTAAATGTAAGTACATAAAAACACTGACATAAACCCAGCATAGAGCATATAAACATCGAATCAAACATATCCGCATTATAGGCAGAAGGGCTACTCCATGCATAGAGAAAACAAATATTCAATAGAAGTCAGAATCTACACACATGTAATAAAAGTGATATTATCCCGTGATGTCTCCGTACCAAGAGCATATGCCCGGGTCGGATCATTAATCTCAAATATGGGTATAACGCGACTGTCAGGAACAGTCCATCTAATACAGAGGGGTGGATGGTAGTCATTGGGCGCTAAAAGAAGAACTGAGCATCTTCTAGATCACCAAGAGCGTCCAGTGAGCATTTGCTTTCAAAGCACATCGTAAAATAATTATCGAAATATTTTTTGGACCGGTTTACTCAAATGCCCCTGACACCTTTCACCCACCCACCCCCGAGAATACTAAATGGGGTATTCTTTTACTGTTAAGGATGTACACCCTGTACAGTATAAACTGTCGTCGGTCAATATATATATTTTATAACGTTTAATTCGTCATACTTGAACGGATAAAGGAGACTGATTTGTAAACGTGGTTTTCTCCCCTTCAATCAATGTTTTACATATACTTGAAATAAAAAAGTGTCTTTCTATAGTTCATACTAAAAACTCTTTGTTGGAATGATATAAAATTAGTTGACATGATAAATACGAGTAAGTACATATATCTATATATATATTATTTCCTTACTATGTATACCCGCGTAACACATTGTTACATTGTGTGGAATCGAACCCGGACTTACAGTGTGACAAGCAAATGCTCATTGGCTACTCCACCACCACAAGTGAAGATGAAACAACTTACAAAGAAATGAATATGTCTGGTAGCGGGAATAAATGACCTGGTCATATAATGGGATTCGAACCACAGACTTTTTGAGACAATTCGGACTCTTTAAGTATACGGTCACGAGGTTAACCCCGTCAGCAAGCTGACAAAGTAAGGATGACTGCACATCCTGCTACATATACCCCCACCCACCCCGGCCAATAGAAGGCACGTCCATGTTAGTGACCCTACTTTACTTAAATGTCATATGGGTCAACCCAAATGGCGTTATGTGGCGGTCATATCATTTCAGAGTCCTATGATGGGATTCGAACTGTGCATCGTCTGAGTGGAGGTCGGTGTCTGTGTCAATATGACTAAATAGGTTAAGATAAAAATGTCATCTTTTGGAGGACTACAGGCCATGTCACAAACGCTAGAATATTTAGTATGTTCCTTGATCTCTGCCAAGTAACGTTACCCTTAGCGGTAGTTGGTGTGGTAAGGAGTTGGGATGAGGGGTGGGTTGAGGGGTGGGTTTGTGAACTGGGGTTACGGGTTTGGGGTAGACGGGGAGGTTAAGGGGCGGGGTAGAGGGTGAGGTTATGGGTGGGTAGGGGGTTAAGGGGCGGGTAGAGGGGAGGTTAAGGGGGGTAGAGGAAGGGTTAGAGGTGGGGTAGAGGGTGAGTCGAGGAATGGGGTTGGGGGCGGGGTGGGTATGAGGGGTGGTTAAGGTTTGACACACAACACACGTTTATAAATCTGTCTCAGGTTCAATACGCCTTCATGGGTCCACATCCGGACATGTTCACGCAGTCAAGCTACACTACTGAACGGGGTTCATATTTCAGCCTTATTGACAGAAGAATCCGTTTTGTATTTAGTATTTGAATAGTCGCGGAAATACCAGTGTCAAATATCACTTTTACTCCACACGGACTTGACGCGGCTGCCTGAACGCTGTTTCAATAAACACTTTTGTCCTTTCAGAGGAAAATGTGCTCTCATAGAAATTATAAATGCAAACGTGATATAAGATAACTGACATGTATGTTACGTCATTTAAAGCATACACACTTTTTACCAATAACCTGTACAAATAATACTTCTCAAAAGGTGTGTAATATTTATTGCTGTCGAACATTTCACGCAAATATATGAAACTGAATACTGTATTTTGTCTGACAACAGACACAACAAGGAGCATTTGTTCAATCGATATATCTTCGCACTTGTACGGAGACATGCTTCTAACGATCAATGGATTTTTGTTTACTTGACATGGTCAGAAATAACTACTGTTTGACATGTAATAATCAAATACTAATGTAATAATACACAAATGACGTAATGACTGAACTCTGTGATATGATAGTGAGATATTTTCATTAGTGCCTGGTTATATGACGAGCAATTGTCTCTATAATAATTAGTTATGTTGCACACCTGTGCGCTCACAACTGGTGATAATGGTGTTTCTTCACCTGTCCTGGTTAAAAGTCGAAAAACGACCGGATTAAAAATAACATGATAACCGCTCTTTTCCGAAGGTTTGGAAGTGTTCCCGAACCATGAGTCCAAACGGGTTGTGGTTGTACGATGACTTGGGTATAACGGGTATTCTTAATGGGGTATAATATTTCGCCTGCGTGTTATAGGCGTGTGTTATACACAACCCTTGTTATCACCTTCCACGTGAACAGATCACGGGAGTTTCTGTAAACATGGTATGATTTGTTTCTGGGAAGACAGTAATACATTTCATACAAGTCAAAAACTTACCGCTGCAGGAACATAAAGAAAGATGAGAAGAATTCCAAGAACAGACGACATTTGGCCTGTCGACGAAGAAACAGGAGACAGGTGAATCAATACCACGATGGCATAGACGAAACAATATTGTCCCTTGTCCAAAGTTATCTGTTGATCATGTACCCTGCGAAATAAATCCACTTGTATCTCATAAATGCAGCCCTTTCCGTCCAAACGTCATGTCTCGTCTGCTTGTTGTGTTATTGAAGCCGCCATTTTGTTTCTATGAAACGCATGCCTCGTAACCTGGTCGATGAGAGCCTATTGTTACAGCGCCGCGGTGCGAAACGGCCTACAATAGGCTAATACAGTGTTCGGGCAGACAGTGGGATTAGGCAAGAGGACTGGCCGTGTTGAATGCATGCGTATTAACGACGAACCACAGGAAATTACTCGTTAAGAGAAAAGGTGTTATTAAGTCGTAATGCGAGTCGGATCAGGTGTTCGTTAGGTCGCTGTGACGTGGCTAATTGCGAAGGAAATATGTGGTTAATGTCTGTAGTTACTGCTGCTGTCGTTGTAGTAGTCTTGAAGCGTTGAAGTTGAAGCAGGGGGTGAGCTGAGGTGAAATGGAGACGTTAATGCATGAGTATATTTGGTCAGAGAGAGAGAGAAAGAGAGAGATTGGTTGGTTGGTTGAGAAAAAGTAGAGAGGGAGAGAGAAAGAATAAGAGAGAAAGATTGGTTGGTCGCTTAACGCCACACCCAGCAATATTCCAGCTATATGGTGGCGGTCTCTAAATAACCGAGTGATCAACAGCATGAGCATCGATGAACGCAATTGGGATACGATGACGTGTGTCAACCAAGTCAGCGGGCCTGATCACCCGATCTCGTTAGTCTCTTCACCGGGGGGGGGAGTATCTAAATAACCGAGTGATCAACAGGATGAGCATCGATGAACGCAATTGGGATACGATGGCGTGTGTCAACCAAGTCAGCGGGCCTGATCACCCGATCTCGGTAGTCTCTTCACGAGAGAGAGAGAGAGAGAGAGAGAGAGAGAGAGAGAGAGAGAGAGAGAGAGAGAGAGAGAGAGAGAGAGAGAGAGAGAGAGAGAGAGAGAGAGAGAGGGAGAGAGAGAGGGGGGGAGGGAGAGAGAGGGAGAGAGGGGAGGGAGAGAGAGAGAGGGAGAGAGAGAGAGAGAGAGAGAGAGAGAGAGAGAGACGGAGAGAGAGGGGGAGATAGAAAGAGAGAGGGGAGGAGAGAGAGAGAGAGGAGAGAGGGGAGAAAGAGAGAGAGAGAGAGAGAGAGAGAGAGAGAGGAGGAGAGAGAGAGGAGAGGATAGAAGAGAGAGGGAGGAGGGAGAGGAGAGAGGAGAGAGGGAGAGGAGGGAGAGAGAGGGGGAGAGAGAGGGAGGGAGGGAGGGAGAGAGAGGGAGGGAAGGGGAGAGAGAGAGAGGGAGAGAGAGAGAGGGAGGGAGAGAGAGAGAGAGAGTGTGTGTGTGTTTGTAGCTACTGGTACTTGTTCACTCAGTATGCTTAGCTTGGTTACTCAACTCATGTTTTATATCGAGCACCAGGCAAGGTAACAAAAAGTACCAGCTTTGATCGTATTTCGGCATGACGCAGTTTGGCATCGAACCCCGACATTCTGTTCTCCTGGCACACCCTGTCTACACTGGACCACAGAGGTGGTCTATCAACAGTATTGTGGCAATAGAAGTGAGTGAGTGAAATGTTACATCGCTTCGGCAATATTGCATCCAAATGTCTTCAAAGGACTGTAAAATAGTATGTTTAGTATCACAAGTTAAGTATAAAACAAACCAATCTTTATTAAAAATCTTTATTCAAAGTAGCGGTAGTTGCAGTTGCCGTTGTTACACCAGCAGCAGCAGTTGTAGTAGTTGTGGTGGTGGTATTAGTTGTAGCAGCAATAGTAGTTGTAGTAGTGGCATAAGCATACAACTGTGGTAGCAGTAGTGTTTAGTTACGTTTTACGCCGCACTCAGCAATATTCCAGCTATATATGGCGGTGTAGTAGTATTCGTAGAAGCAGTAGTAGCAGTAGCAGCGGCAGCGGCAGCAGCAGTAGTAGTAGCAGTAGTAGAAGGACCAGTAGCAGCAGTAGTGAGTGAGTGAGTGAGTTGAGTTTTACGCCGCACTCAGCAATATTCCAGCTATATGGCGGCGGTCTGTAAATAATCGAGTCTGGACCAGACAATCCAGTGATCAACAGCATGAGCATCGATATGCGCAATGGGGAACCGATGACATGTGTCAAACAAGTCAGCGAGCCTGACCACCCGATCCCGTTAGTCGCCTCTTACGACAAGCATAGTCGCGTTTTGTGGCAAGCATGGGTTGCTGAAGTTTCATTCTAACCCGGATCTTCACGGGCGTGTAGTAATATTCGTAGAAGCAGTAGTAGCAGCAGTAGCAGTAGTAGTAGTAGCAGTAGCAGTAGTAGTAGGAGAAAGACTAGTAGCAGTAGCAGCAGAAGTAGTGGTAGTAGTAGTGGTGGTGGTGGAATTGGGTTTAACGACGTGCTTGAGAATATTTCGCTCATATGACGACGTGCATGCGTGTGTATGTGTATGTGCGGCTGCTTGTACTAGCCCAGACTTAAGCTGGTTTTATAGTGCTAGCCCACTGAGATACCATGCCGCAGTGAAGCATGAATACCCCACCCAGACACATTATACTGACTCCGAGCCGACCAGTCCTTGTTGTACCCATTAATGCCGAGCGCCAGGCAGGGACCAACAAGTACCATATTTTAACGTCTTTTTGGTATGACGCGGTCGGGGATCGAACCCGCGACCTTCCGCTCTCCGGGCGGACGCTCTAACCACTACACCACGGAGGCGGTCAGTGGTAGTAGTAGTAGCATTTGTAGAAGCAGTAGTGGCAGTAGCAGCGGCAGTGGCAGCAGCAGCAGTAGTAGTAGTAGAAGGACTAGTAGCAGTAGCAGCAGAAGTAGTAGTTGAAGAAGAAGATGGAGTAGTAGCAGTTGTAGTAGTGGTGGTACCAGTAACAGCCGTCAGGAGTAGTTAGAGACGTCATAACAATACTTTCCACAGCCCCTCTCCCCCCACCCCAACCAGCAATATTTCCGCTAAACTGACGCACAAAACAAAGTCCACATCAGAGGATTACTTTCCAAAGTGTGGAAAATCGAAACGACGTGACGATCTCGAGAACGCTTCAAACACTAGGCACCTAATCGTCCCTCTCTCCCTCCAAGATTCGTACCCATATCTCTATCACTACGATCAAGCAAGCAACTTTTCACACAGTACAAAACTGACGCTATTTAAGTGAAGATAATCTAAGAACTGACTTCAGTACCTTACATAATTATATGGGGCGGTGGGTAGGGGTGTACTGCAATATATTGCAAGAACTATTTTTTTAACAAAAACTATTTATAATCGAGTTAATGCTTGATTATAAAGCAAAAACACAACAAAATCACTATGATTGATTAACTTTTCATTAAACCTTTTAATCATGACAAAATAAAAATGTAAGTAAACATTTGGCACTAATGAAACAGGGAAAAGAACAATTAAAAAAACGGAATTATCCGAAGATTTCCGAGTGTTACGAAGTTTTCCGAATGCATGTCAAAATACCGGTTTTCGATCAGCGTATCGCAATACGTATCGTTTTCATGTCTGAACGGGTAAATACCGGTAAACCGCTTATATTGCGCAGCCCTAGCGGTGGGGAAGCCTTGTCTTTAAAGCGTTCTCTCGTCATGCTGCCTTTGAAACATATGTCATCTATTTCTCTTCACAGCTCTAGTGTGTTCCTTTCGTTCATGTCAAACTATCAAACTAACCTGCCAGGTCACTGTTGAAAATTCGTATTTTTCCCCCACATGGGTGCATTGTGTGAAGCCCATTCTGGTGTTCCCCGCCGTGATGTTGCTGGAATATTGCTAAAAGCGGTGTAAAACTACATTCACTAACTCACTTCGTATTTTTAGACGATTCCCCACATGGGCACAATGTGTGAAACCCATTTCTGGTGTCCCTCGCCGTGATATTGCTGGAATATTGCTAAACGCGGCGTAAAACTAAACTCAGTCAGTCAGTCAGTCGTATTTTTAGAAAAAGCCTGCAGTGAGATCCGGTTGAAGCTTTCATAAAATCTTTGTTTGGTACGCCGACAACGCTTTTGGAAATTTGCAACCATAAAATCGAAAGAACAGAAAAGAAAAAGCAAGGGAGAAGTATGTAATCAGCCTTGTATCGCTAAAAGGCAGAGCTTGGATATGTCTTTCTTGTTCGAGCTTAGTGGTTAAAGCGTCCGCCAGTCAGGCCGAAGACCTGGGTTCGATTCCCCACATGGGTACAATGTGCGAAGCCAACTTCTTGTGTCCCCTGCCGTGATGCTGCTGGAATATTGCTTAAAGTGGCCTAAAACCATACTCACTCACTCACTCACCGCCACTACTACATGTCTACTGTATCAATGTGGATAAATGGAAAGTAAACTGTTCCTAAAATCAACATCGCTATGGAATTTCGATCCAAGAGAGATAATGTAACCTTTGATTCACATGACCTGGGCTTAAACATTTGGCAACAAGCATTTCAGATTATACTCTGTCTTGTCTGAAGGTCCGTGCTTCTTTATCTCATAGTTTATACCACTTGTTATTTTTCCACCCGTGAAGGCCCGGGTTAGAATGTACCTTCAGTAACCCATGCTTGTCGTAAGAGGCGACTAACGGGATCGGGGGGTCAGGCTCGCTGGCTTGGTTGACACATGTCATCGGTTCCCAATTGTGCAGATTGATGCTCATGCTGTTGATCACTGGGTTATCTGGTCCAGACTCGATTATTTACAATCCGCCGCCATACAGCTGGAATATTGCTGATTGTGGCGTAAAACTAAACTCACTCACTATCCAGCGAGCACGTACAGGCGACTGACTGAGGTCTGATTACTTCCGGCTTGTGAAACACCAAAACACATGACTTGTTATCTGTGAAACCTTTTGTAAGATCAGTCTTTATTTCGTACTAAATAGGCCAAAAGTCTATAATACATATACATATATGATGGGGAATTACATGATAAATATATTTACATTACAGTGATTCAACATTGCATTGTGAATGAATATGGCAAGATTTTGTAGTATGTTTTGATCTTTACTGCTTATAAGAGTAGAGAATTTTAAAATACTTGGATGGATATAGTAATACATTTTAATATATTTACAACGTACTAATATTGAATTATACGAAGGACAGATGAGAAGAAATTGATATTCGTCTTCAATTTCATTTAAGTTACAAAGTGTACATATTCTATCTTCATTTTTAACATTTTTATTTTCAGTATATCTGCCGCGTTCTACCATACTGTCATACTGGACATCACAAAGAGAACATCACAAGCATGTATTTGTGTTATAGTAGTGGTGTGACGATTCATCGATACGCATCGATGCATCGATCCATGGGCCGCCGATAAAGTGAATCGATACAAAGTTTTACGTTGTCGTATATCGCGATACGATACTTCGAATGGGACTCGATGCATCGATGTTTTACTCTGAATATTGCCGAATCGCAATATCTGTCACTTTTGTTTGATGATTAAAATATATGCATACTTATTTTCCCTTCATAAGTTTCTCGGAAATTCTTGCGTCAGGAACTGTGTCAAAATAGCGCTCGCATTTTATTAACATTCATAAAGTCCGTGTATAAACTTAATTATCTCATTTCCCAATGAACATTGAAAAACGCTGGCGGAATCTTAATGTGTTTTACAGTTGGTGTTAGAATTAAAGATTTTAGTATCGTGATACGTATCGTATCGCCACCCTTGTATCGGGATTCGTATCGTATCGCAGCTTAAGTGCACGATACTTTGGCAATATATCGTCGTGTAATGACTAAAACTTGATTATCGTGATGTATCGTGTCGCAGGTTGTATGCCAATACCAGCACTATGTTATAGCAGTTTATTTCCAAACCGAGTGATTATATTTAGAAGATAAAGCGACTCTGTTTTCAATTTTGCGGTCCTTTATCGTTGATTCAAGGCCGCTAAATGTAATCTAAAATCCGAACGCGTTAGGGTGAGGTTTTAAATTAAACATTGAGCGGTCTTAAATCAACGATAAAGGACCGCAAAATTGAACACAGAGTCGCTTTATCTCCATTCTAGCACGACTGATAAGCGTTTTAAAACCGAACTGTTTGGCGCGCAAGAACACAAGGCGCAAAGGGGCCTTTTTCCTGGAAATCGCTTGGAATCGTCCCGTTGAGGGACAGGTTGTGTAATGAACAAAATAAATCATTTTCAACAACATAAATGTTATATTTCAGGAACCAGTATGCTTGTATTTGTAACAAGTAGCATACATAAATTAAAAAAAATACAGTTTATACTGTGAGCAAGTACAATTATTTGATTTTTCTCAAGCGAATTATTGATCTCCCCTACTGTATGACAATCGACTCGCCCAAATGCAAGCCGTGAACTTGCTAAGTTCAGTCGCCGCTAACTTTATTCACGGAAATAATTGTTGATAACCACCCTACTATTCCCAATTTGGAAAAGACCTGACATGCCATGTTTTATGTGGGATACATGGCCAGAGGAAGTGGAAGGACTGGACATTACGGCCGGGACGGAAGCGGTCGGGTTAGGACGTGTGGGCCGACGTGTGTTGTCGATGTCAACACACGTAGATCTGGACCCGCTTTGAATATACTGCCGCTTTTGCGCTGCTGACGGATTTTCCAGCTTCGTAGTTTCTTCACTGGGATTAGGGTCACGAAATTTTCTTCAAACCATTCGCTTTTTACTTCAAAAACACCAAAGATGCTGCCGAGATAGAAATTGCCGATGCCCGACATGTTTGTTTACAAACAATAGGGTCAACGAGTTTGTTGTATTCATACGCGGTGAATCGGTCACTTTAATTAGCGGTCCTTAAACTGTCATTTAAGTACGGTTTTGATGAGCTCTCAGCCAATCAGAATCGAGTATCACCCATTGTCGTGCTAGAATTTAAAATTATATCTAAGCGCTTTTTACAGGTGTTCAGTATGTAATATTGTCTCGATATTCATGGGACCAAGAATACATAGCAAGTTATCCGAACCCTCGAGACATCCGACCAGGCATATGTATTTACGCCGCTTTTAGCCATATTCCAGCAACAATGGGTACAATGTGTGAAGCCCATTTCTGGTGTTCCCCGCCGAGATATTGCTGAAAAATTGCTAAAGCGGCATAAAAACTCATTCATTCACCTAGACGTTTCCAAAGTGCCACTGCAGTCAGCATCGCCAACACGATTATGGCAGAACATGCCCTTCATCGTCGTTCGAAACGGTTTGTACAGTTTGAGGTACACCAACAGCTTGATGATGTAATACGAAGAGCAGATTGCCCAGGAGATCGCCTTGCCGAACGGCATGTGAAACTTAAGTGAGATGACAAGGAGGACGGGCACGAAGGTGATGAGGTAGATTATAGTCGTGAGGTGGATAGTCTGAGACAGTTTCACCTTCGCCATGTTGCGAGGACCAAGGGTGGCCATAGTGGGGCATTTCATGCAGGACTGGATTTTCAGGAAACACGTGGCCGCTGAAGAGATTGGGACGAGGACGATGTTGACTGCCAGAAGAAGGAAGAACCACCAGTTAGAGGGTGTTAGGTTTATGTTCAGGAAATCTGAAGATGACTCGAGGTTAACTTCATAGAACGACGGAACAACGTGGTACAGGCTGACGATCAGGACATTGAAGATCCAGGAACAGCAGAGGAAGGCACCGATCCGTTTCCATGTAACCATGGTCTTGTACTGGTGTTGTTTGCAGATAGCGAGGTAGAGATTTGTTGACAGGGCGCTTAAACTGTGAGATACAACGCCACTGAGGCCGAACAGAAGAAGTCGAACATGGATGGTAAGTTGAATCATTGGAGGACGAACCGCAAAATGGTATATCAGAAATTGAATGACAACTTCCTGCAAGACCTCCGCCACGGCTTGGTTGATCATGAGCGCACCAGAGAACCCTCTCAGACCAGCCGTTCTGGCAATGACAATGATGACCATGATGTTTCCACCAATACCCACTGCGTTGACGGACCCAGTGACCAATGCAGCGTTCAGCGACAACACAGTTTGATTTTCAGTGTCCATTTTTGCTGACAAATCCGGCAAACGAATGTGAAAAATACACGTAATATATTTCTTGTTTTCGGGCTGGATGTTCTCAGCCTCCAATGGAATGTTTTTCAAATTCGATGGGTTTTTTCCAGGAATTATTTGTTAAAAACTTGATTTGTGTCCTCAAATGTTTATGCTTGTCAGTCAGACACCGCTTGTACAGTTTCTCCTACTTCTCATATGTTCACAGCGTTCTTCTGTGTGTTATAAGCTGAAATATAAGGTAATAAATTAATAATTAGTGACGATTCGGACATAAGAGTGAGTAGGTAGGTGGGTGAGTGAGTGAGTGAGTTAAGCTGACATAAGAGTGAGTGAGTGAGTTTAGTTTTACGCTGCACTCAGCAATATTCTAGCTATATGGCGGCGGTCTGTAAATAACAAGTCAAAACATTGATTACACAACAGTCTCGTTTCCTGCTGACTGGGTTCCGTCCTATTGCGCAACATAGTACAATAATCAGTCCTAAATTTTGAGACCAATTCATTCAACTGGATACATAATTATTAATCAGTATTTGATACATCTAAGCACTTGTATATTGCAACACTACGATCCTTCTAATCCTTTCAAACACGTCGTGCAGCGTGCTCTGTCGTACAGCGTGCTCTGACGGAAATCTGGAAATCGTGGAAATCTCAAAACGAGGCTCTGCCGCTAGAAAGGTTTGGCGGTCTGGTACGGACTTGATATTATATTAATCACGTTGTGCGTTACAAAAAACACATAACAGGTGTAACCGGTGGGCCAGATGAAATGTGAATCATTTTACGACCTCATCAGTCTGTGACGTCTTAGTTAAAGCCATGCTGCCTACACCTCGCCATAAAATATAGAAATACGATGTTATTAAAGTTTGAAATTAAAATTCAGATATAAATACCATTTTCTTATGAAACGAGAAATTAGAATTCAGTGTAACCATAGTTGTTTGTGGTGTCTCTTTTCACTTTCACACGAGAAAATTCGGCTCGGCTGAAAAGTAGGTCATTGTATGAATAGGTTAATGAGATTCATGTTTCGGTTTGCGAGTCTGGACCGGACAATCCAGTGATCAACAGCATGAGCATCGATCAACGCAATTGGGAACCGATGACATGTGTCAACCAAGTCAGCGAGCCTGACCACCCGATCCCGTTAGTCGCCTCTTACGACAAGCATGGGTTACTGAAGATCAATATTCTAACTCGGACCTTCACGGCCGAGTGAGTGAGTGAGTGGTTTAGTAATGTTCCAGCAATACAAGGCTTGGATGGGGTAGGAGGGGCACTAGAAATGGGTTTCACACATTGTATTCATGTTGGGAATCGAACCCGAAGTGGACGCTTTAACCATTAGGCTACCTCACCGCCCCTGGTGTGTGAGAGACATGTTAGTGGTGTCGATGTTGGCGGTGAGTGAGTGAGTGAGTGAGTGAGTGAGTGAGTGAGTGAGTGAGTGAGTGAGTGAGTGAGTGAGTGAGTGATGAGTGAGTGAGTGAGTGAGTGAGTGAGTGAGAGTGAGTGAGTGAGTGAGTGAGTGAGTGAGTGAGTGAGTGAGTGAGTGAGTGAGTGAGTGAGTGAGTGAGTGAGTGAGTGAGTGAGTGAGTGAGTGAGTGAGTGAGTGAGTGAGTGAGTGAGTGAGTGAGTGAGTGAGTGAGTGAGTGAGTGAGTGAGTGAGGAGGAGTGAGTGAGTGAGTGAGTGAGTGAGTGGGGCTTTATAACGTATTCCATTTTTTCACAGCTTGTCTGTTAAATGTGTGTGTGGGGGGGGGGGAGAGCCCGGAGTGACGCAAGTTTACGTACAGGGCGGGCATGGTGCTAGCAAATCTAGAAACATAATTAGGGTGAACCGAGATCCTGACGTCCCGAGAGGAAGCAACACTGAACAGTGGAAAGGGGGACTTCACATGATTGGCCCACTGAGTTAGTGAGTAACTGACTGAGTTTAGTTTAACGCCGCTTTTAGCAATATTCCAGCAATATCATGGCGGGGGACACCAGAAATGGGCTTCATACAATGTGCCCATGTAGGGAATCGAACCCGGGTCTTCGGCTTGACGAGCGAACGCCTTAACCACTAGGCTACCCCACCGCCCCTTGTCCAACTGAAGGTTTTAGCGAGGACTGAGTATGGTTTTACGCCGCTTATAGCAACATTCCAGCAAAGCCATAGCGGGGACACCAGACTTCACACATTGACTGACTGAGTTTGGTTTTACGCCGCGTTTAGCAATATTCCAGCAACATCACGGCGGGGGACACCAGAGATGGGCTTGTGCCCATGTGGGGATTCGAACCCTGGTCTTCGGCGTGACGAGCCAACGCTTTAACCATTAGGCTACCCCACCGCCCCCACACATTGACCAACGATGGGAATAAAACATAGGCCCTCAGCGTGACACTCTTAACCATTAGGTTACCCCATCACCAGTGTCTGCGCTGAACATATCACATATACATGTATATAGTTTACATCGTGTTCAGAGTGTGTGTGCTCGTTGTTTTCAGTTTTCCAGATATGTGAGGTGAGGTGAGGTGAAATTGGGTTTAACGTCGTGCTTGAGAATATTTCGCTCATATGACGACGTGCATGCGTGTGTATGTGTATGTGTGGCTGCTTGTACTAGCCCAGACTTAAGCTGGTTTTATGGTGCTGGCCCACTGAGATGCCCATGCCGCAGTGAAGCATGAATACCCCACTCAGACACATTATACTGACTCCGAGCCGACCAGTCCTTGTTGTATCCATTAATGCCGAGCGTCAGGCAGGGACCAACAAGTACCATATTTTAACGTCTTTTGGTATGACGCGGTCGGGGATCGAACCCGCGACCTTCCGCTCTCCGGGTGGACGCTCTAACCACTACACCACGGAGGCGGTTTTCCAGCTATGTAAAATAACTCTCGACAAGACAATCCAGGGACTGATACCATGAGCATCGATCCTCGCAACTGGAATACGGGGATATAAGGACATCGATAACCAATCCCGTTAGTCACCTTTTACGACAAGGGGCGGTTGGGTAGCCTAGTGGTTAAAGCGTTCGCTCGTCACACCGAGGACCACTGTTCGATTCCCCAGATGGGTACAATGTGTGAAGCCCATTTCTGGTGTCCCAAGCCGTGATTTTGCTGGAATATTGCTAAAAGTGGCGTAAAACCAGACTCACTCTCTCACTTACGACGAGTCATGTAATCACGTTAAGATTCGTGCAAATATCTCAAAACATCTTAGTCAGTCTGCACGTTGGGTGTAGTCAAGTACCCATTCCACTTGAACGCAGGCAGTCATTACTGATGACAACAACTATCTCCTGCCTAGCTCACAGTGATATCTGCACAACAATAACTTGCCATCTTTGAGTACCTGTCAGTTAGGGGAGCCCCATATGTCATCAAGAAAATCAATTGATTGTTCGAGTTATTGATCTGTAAGAACAGTTTACTGAAACTTGATGTTTGCTTACTGACGGGGATACATATTACATATGATGCTCGCCTTTGATCGAAGCACTGGCATATTTAAAATCAATGTATGGTGAGCCTGAAGGGTCAAAATAACCATACAAAGACTCCTAAATGAATATAAAATTAATGGTTATTTGGGGATTTAAATTATGGATATTGCAATACATGGTTCCATAATTATATTTACATCTTTCAGTCCATATCTTATAAGCATATAAGGAAAAGTTCTTGCTAATATAATTTAAACCATTATGCATATTGACTTTTCTCAAACACAGTAAAACTGGGCTTCGCAGATTTGCCGACATTTTAGAAAATAGTTGTGGTTCTTATCTCCCTCTATGAAGATCCGGGTTAGAACTGATCTTCAGTAACCCATGCTTGTCGTAAGAGGCGACTAACGAGATTGGGTGGTCAGGCTCGCTGACTTGGTTGACACATTTCATCGGTTCCCAATTGCGTAGATCATCCTGTTGATCACTGGATTGTCTGGTCCTGACTCGATTATTAACAGACCGCCACCATATAGCTGGATTATTTCTGAGAGCGTTGGTAAACAACAAACCAACAAACAAACAAGCACTCAATGCAGATAATCATTTTTTCTCAAATGTACACTCATTTTCCCCGCCGTGTTATTGTTGGAATATTGCTAAAAGCGGCGTAAAACCACACTCAGTCACTCACTCTAAAGTGTCAATAGCATGAGCATGTGATCTAAAAGAATGTTCCGAGTTTTATGAAAATGCTTACAAAGTAAGGAAGTTACTTAAACTTGATTTCTTTTTGCACGTTTCAAGTAAAGAATACATGTTAACACCCTTTAGGCACCTACCCTTTTATATGTAAATCATCAGTGTTAATGTAAATAATATTATAACGTATGTACTATATTGCCCTTCTTCAACATTCAAAAACATCCTAATTTAATTTAACTTGCTGTGGGGACTGAGTGAGTCTAGTTTTACGCCGATTTCAACAATATTCCAGCAATATCACGGCGGGGGACACCAGAAATGAGCTCCGCACATTCTATCCATGTGGGGAATACAACCCGGGTCTTCGGCTTGCTTTGTAACGTATATTGCCGAAGTGTTTGTAAAATCAAAAACACTGAAAAGATAGGCGTAACCTGCCCCACCCGTGACAATTGTTGGAAACCCGCATGCGAAACAAAACCAATGTTCACCGAACGTCAAAATAAGGCTGTTTTAAGTTTGACACTTCAACACATTATTGTTACATGTGACCACTTTCTAAATACCATTGTGTGTTCACGTTTTTAAGTTAATGAAGGTGTTATGATTGATATAGAATCACACGGATAGGAACTGGACGTTAAAAAAAAACACACCAAAAAACAAAACAACAAAAACCAAACAAATCAAAAGAATGATATTGTATCTTTAGACATTACACGTGTTCATAATGTTGTCTGGTGCCTACCTGCCACATCGAACCAGCAAGACGAATCTCAGGCTTTTGAGCGATATGAGACTGATTATATATAGAACCACACGGAG